TCACTATCTGTTGTAATTTCATTATTTTCTATTATTGTTATTGCTCTATAGGAGCCTTTATGAACATACTTGAATAGGTACTTCACTAATTTTGAGTAATTGCATGTTTCAACATTTAAATGTGCATCAAATTGAACAAGTAAGTTCCTGTTGTATGGAACAACATATCTGTTGTCCAATTTGGCTCCATTTTTTGTAACTCCAATACCTGTGTCCCTTCTCCTATAAATAGGGAATCCGTCCATATCAAAATTGGTATGGTCAGTGTATTTCTTAGGAAAATGTTTTATGCGCTTGCCTTATTTCATACATGGGCATTTAGATTTTAGTCACCACATGGTTCATGAATCATAATGTTTTTAACAGCATTATAGCCACCCGAGTCTTGTGCAACATCAGGGATTTCTGCTGATAGTACTCTGTCAATGTGATCTGCTGATAGGGTTTTTAATGTCTCATAAAGGAAGAGCAGTATGTGCGCATGTGGTAATCCTCTCTTCTGGAACTCAATTGTATATATGCCTGCGTAGAGAGTTGTTTTGATAAACAATTTGGATGTTTGTTAATGGACGTAATATATATGTGTATTATGGAATGTGTACTCGATGTTATTGAAATGCTCTTTTTTTTATGCTGTGTATTGTACGAGTGAGTTATAATGTAATGTAAAATATGTAATACACGGTACTTACATGCCACAATTTTTTCAAAGGGTTTTTGTTTTTTAAGATGCTGCATAAGTTGAAACAGCTTGATCTGGAAAACTCTACATAGGATATCCACACGACTTCCATCATTCTCTTGTGATATCAAGTTTTGCATTTCATTTATTTCTGGCCATTTTGGGTTGCAAGTGAACGTAAGGAACAAATCTGGGTAACCATCCCACCTGCATATTGCCATTGCATCTTGATAATTTTGTGCCCTACATCGTGGTCCCCCAATGTGCGATGAAGGTAGTATAATTGTTTTCCCAACCCTTGAACAATCAGAATCTCCCCGAACAATAGCATCCATCAACCCCCCAAAAAGATTTGTTCGTAGTTTTGGTTGATTATTTCAGGTATACCAAAATCTTTTTTCTTCAATTGCCATGTAACCATCCAAAATGTATTGTTGAAACAATCTTCCAGCTTGTAGAATTGTGTGTCCTTCATTAAGTCGTTGCTGTTTTCGAAAACAATAATATTGCCTCATGCTTAAGCTGATCCTTGCGAATGATTTGTTACACAAATCCACCAACTGAATACCAAATTTATATCTATCTTCTCCATATGGGTGTATTAAGGGGTAATTCATGGCCATGAAAGATGGGTGTAAATCTGTGATTCTTTGCAGACCATTTTTCCGATGTTCTACAATAACTCACACTGAAAGTTAGCATCTGTAAGTTCACCAATTATTAATCCTGCCACTTCTGAATTTGTTGGTGTATTGTATTGTCGGCCATCCTTGCTGCTTTCAGTTAGGAGGCGCAGACAGAATACATATTCTGGTTGTTCTAGATATCTATCCCTTGCCATTCGGAATGATTTTACCAAAACATTATGGTCATCAAGAATTTCAGATATTCCCCTTCCAATTTGTGGTTCTACTTCTTCATGGCGCATAGTATTGATTGTATTATCGATCTCATTCTTAGTATTATATATATAGAGCTGGGCAAACTAAGGATTTTTACCATGTTCCGATAATAGTGAGACAATGTGATGATAATTTTTAACACTGATCCTGAAAACGTAATGTTCTTTAGCACGGTTGATTGATTTGTCTACTCGGCCTCCCATGGATGTAAATGCAAACAAGGAGTTATAATTCGAGTATGATATCTAAAAGTTATACCCAGTTGTCCAGATTCTGTGCTTATTAGTTTCTTTCAGGTAGATTGGAGGTTGACTAAGTAAGGGTAGCTGAACTCGGCCTTCCATACAACAAAATGTGAATTTTGGTTGTCTCGTTTTTTTACTTTTGTCCGTCCGTTCCTCATACCATAAAATAGCGCCACAATGTTGACAGGTGTATGTTGGCGGTCCCAATTTTGAAGGCGTTGAATATTCATCTACCACATAATTTAGTTTTCAATTAATTGAAACATTTGTATGCAATAATAACGTTTGCCAAGGCAGAAGATACGTACTTGAATTCTGGATTGGAAGTAGTCTGATGTAATCAATTGGTGTATACATGGAAATTGAGCCTGTTTTTCTCCCCGTTATTGGTGATTCAGATGGTTGTGCACAATGGTTACCTATAAAGTGTTACAATACTGGGTTCATTATAAGCGGTTTAATGGCTTGCTCTATGTTACTGTTCTACATGGTTATGTATTAGCAAGTAAGGTCCATTTTTCATTGAGGCGTGGTAAGTAAATATTGAATTATATCAGCTTACCATACATCCGGTGTATCAGTTCTCGTGGCGCAAAGTTTGATACATTCACCAAATTTGTAAATCTTTTCACAAAGTGTAGTAGTTGCTGCATTTTCTTAATTGGTTCATGCTTGTATTTGTGGCTGATTAATGTTAGCTTTCTCTTCAATCTAGAATAATGGCCCCTGAATATTTTGATATGCTTTATTTTCTCTGTCTTTGTAGTGTCATCGTTTTCATTTTGAAATCTTGAACATCTTTGTGGCAGCATCCTATCCTGCAACGCTAAATCCGGCAGTCGTTGTTGAAGCAATATAATCTCTGTGGGTATATTAACAGTCTTTGAATTCTCTAACTATGTCTGTGATCAATTCCATTTGGTCTGTTTCACACAATAGTCAAAAGTATGTTATTTGTGCATAATAACGGATACATTAAAGATAACATTGTACACCTACCGACTCAAGTTAGTTAACATAGTTTGTACTTAGTAGTTCATACTATACTTAAATTACTAATTTTTTTGTATGTATATTATCCACTTGATTGTTGGTTATTGTGTTATATTTTTGTCATCATGCTTAATGCTAAATAGAGCAATATTGAGCATAGCCGTTTATTTTCATTTATTTCGTAGTTTTGCAGTTTATAATTTTAGGTAGCAGAGACCACTGTATTCTCATAATGAGTAGCATAAAAGTTAGAGACAGTATAGTTAAATGACCCATTATCAGGTACAGTTCACTGTCTCGATGGATGTATTTTTTCATTCTAGAGGCAAGTCTAGGGGTGCACACTATGATGTATGAATTACTTATCTGCACAAAGGCAACATTCCGTTGCTGTATTGTAACATGTATTCATATTGTCCTGATGTTCGATGGGTTCGAGTTGGACCTTTGTTATATTGTTGTTTAAGAGTAAGTTGTGTCCACTTGTATCTATGTAGGGTTGTCTTTTTCCATGATTTTTCACAATAGTGTTATGGATTACGCAGTGAAAATGTGGGGATTTTTTCCCAGTACCTCGGGCACTTTGATAGAATTGTCGATCCAATCCCGATTGCAATGTGTCACTGTTGTGGTTGTAGACGAAGATGGAGACAGTACACTAATCGATGTGACTTTTGTGGAGTATGGGTCACATTAAATTGCAGGCTATGTAATTTCAGTGTGTTGTAATCAAATTTCACAGTAGTTTTGATTATATTTCAATTGATTGGAGTGAAAGGCATGAGTCTGTAACTTAGTCTAACAACACACACATCGTTTCTGTGCTTGTTACGTTTGTATATATATTATAAATGTGAGGTGCATTTCAAATTGTTTTGTGGAGCAGTTACAGTCAAAAAAATAACTGACAGTCGAAAGTTTCTGTTTATGCCAAAGGACCCATCATTTGGATTTTACCGTGTAACAATATATAATTTGTTCCGTGTATTAATACATGATTACACTTGCAGAAGCGGTTGTGCCGGTACAGTTCCATTTATATTAATGTGTTCCTTCACTCATAAAATAAATGAAATTGTTCGTCGTGTACATGATGTAATCTGGTTCTGAAAGCTTCAACTAGTATTTTTAAAAATAACTTACATAGTTTAGGGTAGAATAAACTCATACATTACGTATGCTTAACTCTCACCTTAGATACACTTTTGTTATTGATTATGTACTTTGAAAATATGTATGGATGTCAATTTTTCAGCTGTTAAATTGAAATAAGCTATAGTGTAAATATATAATGGAATTGAAAGTTCACGGTCTTTATGGCACTAAGTTGATGAATTAAAAATTTATTTGACATCGCAAGATTTACGTTATAAGAAGCTGCTTCAACAAAATATACGATTCATTAATCCCATACATACCATTTTTGTGGGTGTAGATAATGAAATCAATATCAAACTTGCCACATAAGTAAATACAGTAAATACAGTGAATTTTCCACCGCCTTTGGAGATCCATTGCAATTAGGATAAAAAAGTTGAGCTCCAATTGGCACAGAACATTGTAAGATACACCTTTACATGATTAAATAATCATTTATAGGAAGGATAAATCCATGTGTTGTAAGAAGATGCTGTAATTGGAAATTAGTTCTCACATCCCAAATTAGTTGAATATGCCTGAATCCATTCAGTACTTAATCCTTTAAACAATTTAAGTTTATCATTTTTTAGTGAATGAAGATAAGTGCAATCACATATTTTTTAAGTAAAATTGGCCTCAAAAAACATTAGCAAGCGCCAATTGAAGAAAATAATGTTTTACCTTAGTACATCTTCTTAAAATCAAAATTGATGAAACAAAAAAGGGTGATTTAACATATATATGATCATCTTATATGAACTTCTTCAATCATTTTATGAATAATGTCAGTGTAATTTCATGTGTTATTAAATTTTTATTGATACTATGGTATATCCGATGGATATGGACCCCGTTATGTCCTTGGAACTTCTGATTATGCTGGTTTGGTGGTTTCATTTACTTGTAGAAGGAGTGGGGAGGTTTTGTTTACTATGGTAGTTAATCAAACGACAATTTGGCTAATCATTACCACTCACACATTGAAGGACGGATATAATAGCATGTAGTATGCAGTAAACATTGTTGATTGACATTCGATTTAACAACACAAAATAACATAATTGTATTGAATAATCAACATATGCAACATTATATTTAGTGAAAGTCATTATTGTAGTTACTAATATATAGTCAATACACATCTTGAAAGAATCTACTTCTTTGGTGAACTAATAGTATCTACAGTAAAGTAGGGGAATGTTCCATTTGGCATTTGTCTTGGTGGGAGCAAAGCTTTCTTCGTCGTCCTCTATGTATACGCTTCTCTTCTTTTTTAGTTTTTGAGTTGGGACTCTTCTCTTTATAATGGGTTCTTGTGCGTCATCCTGATCTTCTTCCGATAAAATCACTGGTCTTAGATCCATCTGATTTCCATTCGTTCGGAGCATTTATGTCTTTCATTTCTCCTTGACCCTAATTAATGTAATACAACTAAAACATAATTACCAATTTGAGGTTTTCTGTTTATTCCACTGTAGGCTTAATTATACTACTTTACCTCAGATTCTGGTTGAATGTTGTAAGGCTCTGAAATTTCCTCATAAGGAATGTCAAGTTGTGACTCTATTTTGATTAGTCCTGCGATTTGTTTGTTGTTCTGCACGATAATGTTTCTCCTCTTTTTGATGTTTGTAGTTGAAAATGTTTGGCTGCAATTGGGTTTGTTGTTCTTGTTTCCTACATACACTATTCTGTTGCCGGTTGAAGTGTCTTCCACCTCATCGATATATTTTTCTGAGTCGTTAATGTGTGAACCTCCGGCAACATGCTCCTGTGATTTTGCTATTTCTTCCTTTTGGAGTTGATCCTGTAGGAATAAATGGAAAAATCATTACATCGGTGTACGTTCGAGGTTATTTCTGCAGATCAAGAATGTATGTACAAAGTAGGTATGTATTAACCTGTGATTGATAACTACACTTTTTTTTCTTTGTTAATGCGGTGTTGCAATTATAAATCTTCATCTGGCACAAAGACTTTTGTTACTGTATAATTTTCCAGACCTTCTTTCAAATTGAAGTTGGTAAATTTTTGTTTGAATACAATGTCCTTGCCGCAAAGTCTCTCAATTTGTGATGGGACATCCTTATCATCGTGGGTTGACTGATTAAGCAACTTGGAAGCAGAAGTATCAAGCAACTTTTACCATTAAAAAGAACCAAAGTTGTTTCCCCACCATTGTCTTTTACCTTGATGTGTATCTTGTACCTGTATCTGGTGAAAATATTAGTGTTTGTTTCTAAGCTAATATGTGGTAGATTGTTTAGTGTTTCCATACCTAACCAACGGGAAATCACACTTCTTCACGCACTTATGGTATGTGTACACACCATCCGTCAGTTCTATTTTGTTGTTGCATAAGTTGCATGATATGTAATGCCAATTAAAAAAGGTATCTATTTCAGCGATTTGTGCCTGTAGTGTGACTATACATTCCTGGCAAAATAAACAACCATCAGATAAATATGCGGAAGAAGTGGGTTTATTTATTATACTGAGCATAATTTTGGAAAAGTTGTTAGGGAACTAACATCTATGTCGTTGACTCTAGTACGAATCCAGTAACTCTGAAACAGTCATCCTGTTCTCGAACATTGCCTCGTCAATGGGTATGTTCCTTCCATTTGCACTCTCAATTATTTGTTTGTGAATGGTTTTGGTTGCAAACTTTTGAATCAATAAGGTTGCATTTGCCATTGGAAGATTAACATACGTTTTGCTTGCAGCGGTGGTGGCAAAAGTAATTTCACCTGATACAGAATGAACAAACATTATAAGTCAGGATGAGTTAATGATGTCCAAAGATTTATTCACGGATATGGTCTGTGTTAGTACTTACCTCTGAATTCCTTCACTGTTGTTGTCGTAACAATGACTATGTATTATCCGGACTCGGGGGGGGGGGGGAATAGGTATGGGTAAAATCCTTCTCCAAAGTCCCCCCCACAACGTTATTTAGTTTTCGCAGACCTATCATGCTAAAACAAAAAATATTATCTGTTAGTGTTATGAGTGCTATTTGGGATTAATGAATATAAGTGAAAATGATCTTATGACATTAGTGAATTACGGATCAGTAAGAATGTGTAGGTCACGCTTATTCCATTTCGAACCAACACTCTCAAGATCACCTATTCCACATATGCATCCAAGCACATCTACAAGTTCAAGATAGACTATATTAAGTATGTATGTAGATGAATATGTGTCACATAACTGATATGTATAAGTATACCTGTTAGGAAGGTGTTATTATTAACCGTTGAGCGAATAATGTTTTGCTTAATAAACTACAATCCATTTGACGGGATATTAATATTATCCTCCTGTATTTTTGTATCGCAGTGAGCTGCAGAAAAGCTATGTAAGTTAGCACGAAACTTGTTGACTTGGTTTCTCAAGATTACCGCGTGTACCAAAGTACCCTGTTTAATGTTAATTCGTAAGTGGATCCCCAATAACCAGACCATCCAACAATGTCGTATAACGTAAAAGTGAAAGGGTAGGACCTTTTTGTCAATAAGTATCATGTCCAAACTTATCATCTCATTGCTTCGCTTGTAGTTTTTAAATTCCCACATCCTACAAACTCGTACCTTAATCAACCAGTTATCCCTTGAGGTATCCAAATCTGAAATAAGTGTGTATGCCATAACAATTATATGAGAGAAAAAGAAGTTTTACGTTCTTTTTGGGAATAAAGAGAGATGTGATCAATAATGGGTGACTGGAGATTTGTAGGCATTATATAGACAGAGAGGGAACTTGAAAGAGGTTTGCAACTTTTGGAAGAGACGCATTGTATTGTAACCCCGCTTGCGAAGAGACGTGTCTAAACATCTGTGAAGGACAGTACATCCTATTTAGCAAGAGGCGTTAGGAACATCGTCTTAAATATTTAAGAGGGCAGTTGTAGGCTTAATTAGCAAGTTTATATTTCAATGTATAGGGCTCTTGTAGCCTTGGGTATCTACATATATTTATGTATACAATTGAAACGAAGCCTGTGTTGTTGGAAAGTTTATATTATGTGCAATTAAAAAAAGAATTGTAAGGTGTAAATATCATAGAGACATTTAGGTTTTATGTGTGTTAGTATGTTATTTTGTTTTGGACTTGAATAGGCATGGGTCTTTCCATATATTATAATTAAATAGTTTTAAAAAAGCACTCTATTTGTACCCGTTTGATTTTTTGGGCAGCATGTTTGAATACACCAAATAACTGGTAGATACAAAAATCAGTGTCATATATTCGTGAACTTTATCTTGTTTAGGTTGCATTCTGAATGACGTTTAAAAGAGAAGTATATCATAGTATTGCATAAGCTAAATACGCACATCAAGTGAACATCAATATTGATTACCTCTGCATATTAGATTACAAACAATATTGTTTTTAGACTATAACATATTAATTTTATCCGAAGATGTTCGGTATATAGCAAGAATTGATGGGAAATAGAGGGAAGGAGAGGAATTTGAAAAGTTTAGAACTTGAAAGGTTGGAATTTGAATTTTCCTCTAATCCTTTAACGAAAAAGGTAATAGTCCCTCATCCGTAATGAAAATGAAAATAGGAGAGTTTAAATAAATAAACACTCCTATTAATTGTTAAAAGGGTTGGAAAGAGGGACCCCCCTCGCGCCGTCGTCGTCGCTCGCTTCGGCTTCGGCTTTGACAAATGATCGAGAGATAATGTTTTGGACGTTAACTGAATGTTTTCAACTTTTTATTTAACCCGACCCGACTCGGATCCGCGTGCGTGACCTATTTTAAATTCCGTTATATTTAAAAATTCCCGCCATGACTGTTCTAAAAGGTTGCAACTTTCAGGAGCAGTCAATACCATTTGAAAGTTTTCTACCTTTCATTAATGGTCGCGTTAATTCTAAAAGGGTTGCAACCTTTCAGAATATATTCTTCTTGCCTATAAATACCATTCAGTGTTCAGAATATTTCCCTACGAATTTTCTTATCTTCCTTGTTCTTAAAAAGACATATATCTTCGTGTACGTCACTGACAGTAGAGTTTTTGGTATCTATACTCTACTGATTAAGATCATTTTACCCTGGGAGGTTATATTCCAAATCAAACCTCGGATACTAGAGGGGAATAATTTCCTTAAGGGGACACTAGTTGACTTGATTTTCTTCCTAAACTATTAAAAAGAGTATTCCAGATTCTGGTATGTTTTTAAAGATTCAATTATTTTTACAAATAAATTTCTGTTCATCATACTTACCGGTTCTAAAAATCTTAGTTACTTCGTGTTTCTGAATGATTTATTACAACCAGTAATTTATTATTTTCATAACACAGATTGACAACAGAAGATGCTTGCCACAAAAAATAAGATGCACCAAGCTTAAAGGACATCAAACATTTTAAATTTAGTCAAGTCATTTTCAATTTATTTATAAAATCTCGTAAAGTCAGCAAGATGCTTAGGCATGCTCGCCTATGTTGAGCAATCAAACTGTATGAGGGCTGAACTTTATAATGTCAAAGGTCAAATTCTGTGATTCTGAGTCACAGCATGATGTCATTATAGTATCTTATTTTTTGAATCTTCAAATTATTGGAAGTTCATAATATACATTTTATAAATGTGAAAGAATTAATTCAAAGTTGGATTCGTCCGGACAACATATTTAGGTACCCTATGTTGTTAATCTTCAAATTCTTGAATGTTGATAATATACATTTAATAAATTTAAAATAACTAATTAAAAGTTGGAGTTGTCCGGGCAACATATTTTATGCATACTCTGTTGCAACTTGAGTTGTTGAAAGAGTTACAAAGTGATAAAAGATGATGTTCTTGGTTAACACACGTGGACTTTCACAGGCCGACTTAAATTAAAAATTAAACTAGCACACATACTAATTTGCTGAAAATTCTAAATTGCACATTGACAAATTTAGTAGAAAATTAAAATTGAAAGTTTAAATAATTGACGATTGAATAATTAATTTGCAGTATCAGGGCTGAGTTGAGGTAAACATGGCATTATAATTTATTAAAACATAAGGCATTGCTTTCAAAACCATTGATAGTTGAATCTGTGAAAAATAAAGCTGACTTATGGAGGTATAAATAATCCTAGATATTTAATAGAACTTTCTAGAGTTATGTAGAGTAGTACCTTAAATACTTGATGTATCTAGGAATTGTGTAGATGTTCTAGAGAAGTAGTTCTTTATAGTGAATTGTAGAAAAATCTAGATTCTTGTTAAATAGTTAGAAGATAAAAGTCATCATGATTTTTCTTGTAGATCAATCTAGAATAATTTCTAGAAGCATCCCTACTCTAGTATATATAGGGGTGACAATTGTAATTTGTAATCAACCCAAAACCTAAATCAAATAGTCTTCTTCTATATCAAAGTACTTTAATCCAAAATACTCTTTCTCCTTTCTAGCTTCATCTTCCTTGGTTGTATCTTCTGATCTCAGTTAACAATCTTGGGCTAGCAAAAGGGTTCCCTAATTATACTCTTCTTTTGCTATTCTCTACATGGTATCAGAGCCATAGTTATTTATTTACTTTTGAATTTTATTCAAGATTGGGTTAGTGGTAGATTCAACTGATTTGTCGATATAGAACTTAGAGGTCGTGTTAATGGGCTGGGGATGGAGTTGTTGAATCTGTCCAATTACAAAGTATGAAAGACATGTATGGAATAATACCTTGTGAGAGAGGATTTGTGGGATTTTGTTAATGGGAATGACACAAGTACTCCTGCTGACGGACCGTAAAAAAACAGTCATACAATAAGTGGAAGCAGGTTAATGCGAAGGCGGAGTTCATTCTGAAGAGGACAATCTCCTCTGATTTATTTGATCACATTATAAAGTGTAAATCAGCTCACGAGATATTGAGGACCCTGGATCGCTTGTTCAATAAGAAGAATGAAGCTCGGCTGCAAATATTGGAGAATGAATTGGCTAACACCACTCAAGGTAACCTTTTTATCGTCGGGTACTTTTTGAAGATTAAGAACTTATATTCTGAGATATCTTTGTTGAATCGGGAAGAGGCTATTTTGGAAGCACGAATGATAAGAATAGTCATACGTGGACTAAAACCTGAATATATTCCATTTTTGACGTCGATTCAAGGATGAACTCAACAACCAATCTTGGAGGAATTTAAAAATTTATTGTCGTCCCTGGAAATAATAGCCAATCAATTGGCTAGTGTGTTTGTCAAAAACAAAGAAGAAGATGCTCTTGCAGCAGACAAGAGAAACATTAAAAGAAGAATAGGAGATATGTCATAATCTCAATCCTCAGGTGATTCACGCTCACCTAGAGAGAATGATGAGTCTTCTAACTATTATGGTAAGAAGTCTTTCAAATGTTATTGTTGTGGCGAAGTAGGACACATAATGAAATATTGTCGATCCAAGGAGAGCAATGTGGATCAAAAAGTTTCTGAAGAAGAAGAAGAGTGGGGAAAATGTTTAGTAGCTGAGGCTCGAACAATAGATGTCATGATTTCCATCAATCGAAAGTGATTGGATCATAGATCTATAATATATTATAGCCAATCACATGGAGAAGCCAGAAATTGATGTTGTCGGCATAAAGCAAGAAGTTTTTGCTGTTGTTTCCAGTGATGACATGGTTCCTGCTATTCAAAAAATCAAACAAGAAGATCTTGAACAGGTAGTATCTGAAACTACATATGCTAATAAAAACCTCTACAAAGAAAGCATTGATGAAGATGTATTTAAAGTGGAAGTGCATGGTCAATCATTGAAAATATCAAGGTCAACTAATGACTCGGAGCAAATTCTGGAAGAAAATGGAGAAAGTAGAGATCGATGGAGGAATAAGACTATATTGAAGTCTTAAAGACAAAGGATATGATTTTAGAAAGTGCTGAAACTCCCAAAATATCTATCGATGAGATAATAAGAGAGTATGACAATGGATCCTATGTTAGTGTTGAGACTTCACAGGAAATTGACATTGTTTCCCTAGAAAATATAATTGTCCAGAAGTTAAGAGAAAGAGGGAGTCTGAGAACCCAACAAGGAGAAACTCTACATGGATAAACTGACAATGAAGAATTTTTATCATTTGAAGAAGCAAGAGGAGGTCGAAATAGTATGGTGTTTTAGGCACAAATAGAAGTTTCGAACACATGAAGAGGAAGATGTGAAGAAAATAAATTAAGTGAGGATGCCATGATGGAATGTAATTAAAGGCATGGGTGGGCAATGTGATATTAGAAACAGTTGATGTTATGCTTAAATTAATAGTATATGCTACATATATATACCTTGATTGAGAGTGCATATGTGTAGGAACAGATGTGTATTGGGGGTCTATTGTAGGGATTTCTTTCAGTAGAAGGTGTTTATATGAGGATTTTAATGTTTGTTTGATTGTGCGGGATTTAGTCAGTGATGAGGAGGAAGTTGGGCACAGATACCAAA